AAAAAAAAAAAAAAAAAAAAAAAAAAAAAAAAAAAAAAAAAAAAAAAAAAAAAAAAAAAAACCAAAAGAAAAATAAATAAATAACAATTTTTTTAAATGGTAGAATTATACACATTCGCCCTATGCCCAGTTGACTGACCCTTCTAGGGTATCATCTGGCTCCATGGATAGTGAATTTTTACTAGAAAATCACTTTAACCAACTAATCTACAAGGTCGCAAGAGAATGTATTTGCAAATATTAGGAGCTGCATAGAAACCTTCAATTGTTTCTAGAAATTCTGAGGTTGACAGACGAAATCCAGCACAGCCTGATGGGACACTTCCCAGGGTTATTTATGATCTCAGGGGACTAGTTCACTGACTGATGTGCCCATGCCTCTGGGAAAGCCATAGGTTCCCTAAATGAGTCATTTCCAGCCCAGCCTGGGCTAACAACCAGAGCAGCTTGTCTAAGAGCAATAGTTATGAGATTTAACAATGATGAAGATGCCACTTTGTGTCACTGTGACTCACAGGGACCAGGGCTATGGTGTTCTGGGATCATAATTTTTGGTCTTTGTTTACTATGTATTTGAAACATTTCACCAGAGAACAATGTTAGGTCATGGCGGGTGCAGAAACATCATTTATCATCTAATGCAAGGCTTCACTTGGTGGTTCTTAACCATCACGCTGTCAGGATGGGAGTGCAGCATATGCAAATTTTTTCCAAGGGAAATTTCACTCCCAGTTCCCACCTGCATCTCATGAAAGCAACCTTCCTGTTTTGATAGCAGATCGCCTAGTGTCATTTACCCTCCAAACACATCTGCTAGCTGGGACAGCAGGGACTTTCCCAGCTCTGGGCTACTACTGGGAACTTCCATGACATGACATAGGGCTGTCCCAGCGCAGAAGCATCAGGGTGGGGGACAGGGAACGGGAGGGTGGCTTAAGAACAAGCACTGTAGAGTGGCAGGTCAGAGCTCCGAGCAGACTGCCCAAGAGGGATAATCCCATGACCTGATCTAGATCTAGCATCAGAATACTTCCCCCACCTCCCACCCCCCACCCCGGTTTAAAACCTGGCCCAGCCCTCAGGATGGTCAAATCTAGTAGGCAAGGAGGCTACAGATTATCAGCAAAGAACAGTTGTTAAGCTCCCAGTAAGTTAGACGCTATGTAGGGAAGATGCTATGAATAATGATTATGGGAACCTGCAAGGCATAGTGATATACCTGGACCTCCGCAAATTGGAAGTTTCTTGGTTACACATGACCTTTCTGTCTCCATAACTTGCCCACCAGACGCTCACTCTGTCTCTTCACTAAAGAAGGAGTGAGTGAGTGAGTATAGTGGGTTAGCTGTTCCAGCTTTGACCTGGAAATACTACCCCCAGTGAGGCTTCCAGTAACTGTCACACCTACCTATGGCCTGCCCCTGAGGCAGGGCCAAGATAGGAGCCCTTAAGACTGGAGGTCCAGATGTGCCAGCTTCCTTGGTTCCTGGATGTTCGATGGTAGGCCGAGCAGAGTTCTCCAGAGAACACCGCTGGACTGCACTTCACCTCTCCTGGATCCTGTAACCTATGTTATAACCCTTTACGTGTTCTCTGATCTCTTTGGCTATTACCTCTATATTTGGCTCTGTGTTTCTTATTTAATAAGACTGTTTAGAAATTTGACTACATTTGGGACTGAACATGGGGCATGAGCCCAAAACCCTGAGATTAAGAGTCCCATGCTCTATTGACTGAGCTAGCCAAGCTGGCCTTGAACTCATGATCCTCCTGCCTCCACCTCCTTCTGGCCTGCAGGTAGGTAGGTGAGTGAGTGAGTGAGTGAGTGAGTGAGTGAGTGAGTGAGTGAGTGAATGAATGAGTGAGAGTCAGGCACAGAGTTCTAGAACGCACCCCTCCTGGTGGCAGGAGAGCTAGATCAGTAGCTAAGAGCATTTGCTGCTCTTGCAGAGGACCCAGGTCCGGTTCCTAGCTCCTGCACGGTTGTTCACAACCTTCTATATCCCCACTTCCAGGGGATCTGACATCCTTTTCTCACTTCTGGGAATACCAGGCACATGTGCAGTGCACATACATACATGCAGGCAAACACTCATACATATAAAAATGAATAAATCTAAAAAACAAAATAATTCCCCTCCTGTATGAAAACACAGAGCAAGGAAAGAGAGGTGTTTCTGTAAGGGCCTCATCAAGGGTTGTTCACTGGGAGCCAGGCTCCCATGATCTAGTCTAAGTTTTTTTTAAGACCCTCAAATTTGTATAATTGTCTAAATAGTAAAGTTTTATTTAGAGCCTGGATTGTGCCAAGGAAGGTTATAAATTCTGGGAGATTCAAAGAGTAAAACAAAGATGTTGCCTTCATGTGCCCATGGAGGACAGAGACTCGCTTATGATATTACAAATGACACAAATACTGAAGAGATCTGGAGAAGGGTGAAGAGGCTAGTCCTTCGCTACAGCAGTAGGCCAGTAATGTCAATGAGTCAAGCAAAAGAATAAGGCAAAGAGATCAGCGGGGACATGGGAAACTAGAGACCACATCCCAGTAACATCTTTCATTGACATAAAAGTATAGGTACTGGATAAAACTATCAGAAATGAAAGGGCTAGCAAGATGGCGCAGCAGAAAGGGCCCTCATGGTTCTTGCAGAAGACCCAGGCTCAATTCTCAGCAGCCACATGGTGGCTCACAACGCCCTCTAACTCTAGTTCCAAGGGATCCAATGCCCTCTTCTGACCTCTGCAGGCTCAGCACCCATGTGGTACACATACATGCATTCAGGTACACACATACACACTTAAAATAAAAACAAATATTTATTTAAAAATCTATTTCTCTTTCCTTTTAATCCCATTAAAGCAACTAATCAGATGTGATCTAGAGGGGTTAGGTCAGACAAGTGGAAACCCATTCAGAAGTGCCTATCAGGCTTCCTAGACTACAAATTCTACCCATAGGAATCTATCCTGAGGGAATTAATCAACAGAAGCAGGAAGACGCTCATTGAAGCATTAATCATACTAACAAAATAATTAGAACTTGCTTAAATATCCAGCCATGAGGGAAAGGTTAATACATTATAATCAACTCGCTCAACTAAATATTATGAAGCAATTAAACGTGACAATTAGAAAGCCTATGTGACAAGATGGGAATTTTACTAATGTGTTACTGAGTGTAAAAAGTAGAATATAAGAATATGGTTTCATAGTAGTTAGCACTCCATAAAATTACACCATGTGAATGAGACAGATAGGCAACAAAAATATCAAAACAACTTGTTGGGGAAGGGAGATACTTAAAATGTGCTTTTTCTTGTGTTTGGAGAACTATTAATGCATGTGTTATGCATAAAATTAAACTTCCCCTGGAAGGGTCTTAGTTTGGGGTTAGAAAAGGTGATTTTCTTTCTCTGTCTCTGTCTCTGTCTCCCCCCCTCTCTTTCTCTCCCTATCTCTCTCTGTTTCTCTCTCTCTCTCTCTCTGGTTTTTAGGATTTTCGAGACAGGGTTTCATGTGTAGGTCTGGCTGTTCTGGAACTCACTCTGTAGACCAGGTTGGCCTCAAACTCCACCTGCCTCTGCCTCCCAAGTGCTGGAGTTTAAGGTGTGCACCACCATCACCAGGCTAGAAAAAATTATTTTCAAATTAAAGTAATTTATGTGTATTTATTTCCCAACCATTTACATTGTGAAAAGAGGACTTCAGGGATTCTGGTGTTTACAACTGGT